GGAGGGGGATTTATGACTTTGACAACGGCTCTCAGCTCAGTCTCGGTTACCAGACCATGCCAGCAGCCTTCAGCCACTCCAGCAGAACCACCTCCTTCTCCTCAGGTGAGAGGATCTCAATTAACAGCTTTCGAAAAAAGTCTAAAATAGTGGGTCTACACAGTCTAATTCAGTCTCTGGGATGTAGAACTTCCACTGGACATTTTTCTTTTGTCTCTCAGATAAACTGTTGCTAAAAAAAGCCCATAAAATACCCAACATTGATAAATGTCCTGTTTACAGTGTCATCAGCAGACAGCACAGGCAACTGGCGCAGCCAACTGGCAGTCGGCCTGGCAGAGTACGAGACACCAGACAGACCTCAGTACTCTCAGCCTGGAGCCCACGGAAAGTACAACCGCAGTCCCTCACACGGCAGGTGAATACTGCAGTTTTTAAACCTTTACACTGCACACACAGAGAAAATGTAAAATATATATAAAAAAGAGCAGATGAAGTTTTACAAATATTATTGGGAAATGTTTAAATTTTGCTGTATTGTAGATGAATATTGTTTATGAGGAAATTTGACATATTTAATTAGGCACATTAGAAGACAGAAGATTAGATAGATATAAATACATGCACATCACACACGGGATTTCACAAGATTTTTTGCAGGGGTTCAGATACATATACTGCACATATACTGTATAATGCACACGGTGACTTAAGGTACTATTATTATTATTCTGCATTTCTCTGCGTCTGAAAAAATAAGTTTCTTTCCCCAGGATTTTCTGCTGGTTTGACCTCAAACTGAGGGTCCTGTGAAAACCTAACTACAAAGTCTTCTCTCTCTTCTCTCCCTCATGCTCTGACACAACATTAATGCCCATTGGTGCAGAGGTTCCCCAGAAAACAAAGTCTCTGACACTGAGCCCAATAATTCTGAGTCAGTTGAGATGGTTGGTGCTGAAGCTACTAGTATAGACCAACAGATAGACAACCACTCTAGTACCTAAGGGTGAGACCGGTGGGCTACCTGACTGTATGTGTCATGATTCAAGTCGCCTTTCATGCTCATCTGCATGCTTGTATATTAGTGAATCCATTCACATTTCTCATAATGTGATTTGTGTTTTTTTTTTATCATGAAGAGAATGCATGACGTGATGTATTATTTTTAAAAATCCCACATGAACACTGCCATTTTGCTAGCTCTAACAGATTAATAATAATACAAAAAAATAAAGATATGGTGAAAAGATATTTACTCACACTGTGATACCATTGTGTTCTGGATACTGAACACTTTTAAATGAAATAGTTTAATCTAAGTAATAATACAAAAAAATAAAGATATGGTAAAAAGATATTTACTCACACTGTGATATCATTGTGTTCTGGATATTGAACACTTTTGAATGAAATAATTTTATCTAAATATTTTATATTTATTTTTTATTTTATATTTAACAAAACCATATTAACTACCCCTCGCTCTTTACCTGTAATATGGCAATGACCCACCGAGTGGCGTAGTTCAGACGGAATTGGAGAGAAAGCTGACCTCTTTAATTGTCTGCATTGATTCACTTTTTATTTAACGTTTTTTAATTTAAGAAAACCGCAAAAACAATAATAAATAAAACTAAATAAAACACTGTTGTGTTGTAAATAATGTGACGATGATAAAAATAAATTAACAAGCATAGTGACGTAATTTAGCAATACGTACATAGATGTACAAAAAGGCACAAGTCATGCTAGCAGCTACATGCTAGTTGGTTTAGCCATTTCGGTTCACCACAGTTGAGTGACTTAGCGCCAATTAAAGCATCAGTACCGTATCTTTTCCGGTGTTATAATATTAATAATAATAACAATAATAATAAATTAAAATATCAGAACTAGCAGAAGACTCCATACCTTTTGTTTTTTTATACCATTTCCTCTTCTCACTGTCATCCTGTGGTTGTCGTTCTCAACCAGTTAAGCTACAAAAAAACAAAACAAACAAAAAAACAAATTAAAAACATTTTGTCAATTCTTCTACAGGTTACACGTGAATGGAGGCTACTACTAAAGTACTAAAGAGGACCAAATCAAACCTTGGCACAAATGAAACCAGGGCAAGCAGCACATACAGGGGAGAAAGCTGAAGAGAAGGGTGTACTGTATACGTCCAACTGTTGGGCTGCCGTGACTCTCACGGACCATGGGAGACATTCTGTACATCTTTGGCAGCATAACTGTTCTCATATGGAAGTAACCTCGGAATATACTGTATTAATGACACTCTTGAATGATTTTCCCATGTGCCTTGGAGTAGAGGAAGTGTACATTTGAGAAACAGTGTCAATACCAAGATGTGACATGAATGCACTGGATCAAAACATGACTGTGTAGCTAGGGTGAAATAGAATTTTCTTTTTTTTTTGACCATCGGCTGTATATAAAAACTGGACACAGAAGTCTGAAGTGATTAGTGAGAGAAAGGCTGAAATGTTCGGTTGGTGGAAGTAACTCTTTAGGAATAAGTGATTACTTCTCACTTGATTAGCATTCATTGGAGACTTCAAACGTCACTAGGGTATGGGAATCATTATCGTCTTTGTCATTTTAAATCCTCCTTAGAGAAATACACAGTAGATCACGTATGCTGAGGCATTTACAAAGATTTTAAGGCAAGAAAAAAAGAAAATCAATAAATAACAAAAGTGTTTTTCTGTAAACTGTATCTCCCAGTTCAGTGTTTCCGTCAGCGAAAATCCTGCTTTTTATAAATTCTGGCGGACATCTTTGACACCAAGTCAGAACCTGCTTCTTCACTTCATCTTTGGACTCAAAAATACAGTTTGTTTGGAATTTTTCTACAGTTTTGGAGAAAACATAGACCAAGCCAGATGAAAGTTTGGACAATATCAGCAGATCCCTTTCAAGTCTAGTTAATCACTGACGTTTTTGCTCTAATTTCATCACTGTTTATTTGACTCAATGCTTGGCAAAGATGTAATGAAAAACTGTTGGTGACACTTAATATGTTGGTCCCCAATAGTTTTGCCCCACCAATTGGTTTTATGCTACATCATTTTTTGCACGGACCATTTTAATACACCTTTTTTGGTGGCTTTCCCACCTTTTTAATGAACCGCTGAAGTGACTTTCTTCAACAAATTTTTGCCAAAATTCAAATGATAAAAAAAAAAAACCTGAATCTGAGTTCAGCACTAAAAAGAGGAGCAGACTAAATAGTCTGTTTTTCAAAGTAAAATACAATGCAGATTGACCTGGGAACCCCCAGGCCCATTAGATGTGTCTTGACCTGTTTTAATTTTTTTTAAATTATATATAATCTGTCTTGGAACTTTTTGACTTACTCTTAAAGTTGAGTTACCCATGTTGTTTTAATGAAATTGTTTGGAAAATGCTCACTCCGTGTTCGATAGCTACGTCGATTTCATACAGTACATGGTCAACAACGTGTGTTTTAGCAGGAAGTAGACAGGTCATAGAACAGACTACGATATTTCACCTCCACTGTCTCTGTGAAATAGAGTTGAAAAATGTCCAAAAAGAGATTGGACGGTCATTAGAACCCACTGTGTGTTTCCATTTTAGACTCCGTGTCCTTCTTGAACTGAATGTATTATGTGAATATTGTTTATAGAATATTTTCCATGTCTGTGCCGTAGTGTTTTAAATGCATGGTGAGAACATGATTTTCTTATCAACCTCTTTTGTTTTTATATCAACCGCAGAGCACTGCCGTAAAAAAGCGTCTTCATGTCCATTTCACTCTGTGTCTCACATTTGTACAGTCGGTGTGTAGAGATTTGTTGTTAGATGTTGTCATAAATTATTTTCCACTGGAAACGACGATGTGAATAAACACGTGTGACAGAGAACGGTCCTCACTGTCTCGACTGGTGTGGGTGGAAGATGGCCAAAGGTTTTCAACATGGGGGTCCTGGCCTCTAGAGGGGCCAGAAAAGGGTGGTTCTTTTGTATTTTTTCTATTTGAAAGCAAACATCTGGGTCGTGGACCATGCTGTGTCTGCACTGCCAACAGCTACGCTCAATTTGGGAAATTGAAATGTTGCGGCAACAATGGACAGAGGAACAATTAAATAAAAAAATGTTTTAAAATGAAAACAATATTAATAAATATATAGCAATAAACAATAAAAATACTAGACATTTTGAAGATATGTAGCCTCCAAGAAAACAATTTTTGGATAATATTTGTATCTAGTTCAACACTAAGTTTGATTCCTGGCTTGTACCTTTGAACTGAATGTAAAATACACGGTGAGGTTTTATGTAAAGCACCAGCCACGACTTCATATAAAACAAAACTTGTATTTCCTGCTCTCTCCATCTCTGCAGCAGTTTGGGGAGGTTCGAGGGGGGGTCCTTGTCCTAAGACACATTGTAGACCCCTGATGTAATATGTGGATAAATGAGCTGAGAAATACCACAGGTCTAAGGTGAAAAAGTCAGAGGTGAAATGACATAAAGACATTAATTTGACTTTGAGCTACGATGTCAAACATGATGATGCACCCCCCTCTTGATGTCCCCCCCTCTGGGAGAATCAATTTCCCCGAAGAGAAGATTATCCGTACTGGCTCATAGGTTTGTTGTGGCGCTGCACTGTTTTCTGTTTGCGGAGAACACCCGACCCTCCCACCTGCCGCTGTCACTCAAACTCTCCGTTCTGTCCCTCAAGCAACTGTCATCCCAAAGATCATGACTGTTAGACTGTGGGGCCATCTGTTAGAGGGAGGGGGGTTTAAATAAGAATGTGAGCAAGTCTCCCCTCTGCTTGTACTTTAAATATCTTCCATGCTCTTCGTGTGGGTTAATTTTAGGCTCCACGGGAGCCGGGGTTTTTAGCCAACGTCTGTCCCAGTGTCTTTTCAGTTTGCTCCTCTCTGTGTCTCAGACGGGACAGAAGCTATCCTAGTTTTTTTATTTTCAATTTCAGAACTAGCAGGAGGCTAACGTGTACCAACATGTCAAACGGTAGAAACAATGAGGACCTTAGTGACGAGGACATCGATGAAGATGAGCTCCTGGCCATGCTATCACCCGAGGAGCTTAAGGAGCTCCAGAGTGAGATGGACGTTATCATTGCCCCAGATGAGAGCGTACCGGTCGGACAAAGACAGAAGGACCAGACAGAAAAGACGCCAACCGGGACGTTTGACCACAGGTCACTGGTGGGTTACCTCTACTGGGAGAAAGAGTCCAAACGTATGTTGGAGGAAGAGAGAGTACCAGCAACTCTTCTGCCCAGTGAGGTAGGAGGCCAAATCCTTAGAAAAATAATATATCATCAAAGAGTTTTCCCAGTTATAGAACCGATCTGAAATTGTCTAAATCATGATGTTTTGATTTATTGTTTGATTAGAAAACTCTGAGGGATGAAGCTGCAAAGAAAGAAAATGAAGGCAACGATGTGAAATATGACGAGTATAAAGTGATAGAGGAAGTCATTGAGGAAGAAACGGTCGATGGTCAGAACGGAGAGGAAATCATTGAGGAGATAATTGAGGAAATCATTGAAATTGCCAATGAAAAGGACAAGGAGGAAGTTGTGAAAAATGACGAAAAAGAGGAGATAATTGAGGAAATCATTGAAAATGCAGACAAAAAGGACAAGGAGGAAGTGAAAAATGATGTAAAGGTGCCAGAGGATGAAAACACAGTCACGCCGGTGTCTTTTCAAGACAACAATGCAGACAGGATTAAAAAGGAAAGCGAGTGCAGCGATGAGGCTTCAACGGATGTAAAGAATAAGCAGAGCTCAGCCCCTGAAGTGAGCACACCAGACGTGGAAGAGAAGGAAGAACCAAAAGGTGACACCCCACCTGCTAAAAATGAAACCCCAGAGGAGAACGAAAACAACGAAAAGCTCCCGCCGAAGGAAGAGAAAAAAATCAACAAGTTAAAAATTCCCAAGTTGGCCCTGAATAATATCAAAATGACGTCAAGACCTTCAGGAAATGAGACCAACCTGGAGTCGACGCTGGACAGGATTCGCAACAACAACCCATCTGTCACGGAGGTGAACCTCAACAATATAGAAAATATTCCTAAAGAGATGCTTCTGGATTACGTCAATGCTTTGAAGAAGAACAAACACGTGAAAACCTTCAGTATAGCCAACACCGGCGTGGATGAGAACATAGCTTTCAACCTGGCCAACATGTTACGAGAGAATCGCAGCATCACGACTCTGAACATTGAGTCAAACTTTGTTACGGGAAAGGGCATCGTAGCCATCATCCGCTGCCTGCAGTTCAACGAGACTCTCACTGAGCTGCGGTTTCACAACCAGAGGCACATGTTGGGCCACCACGCTGAGATGGAGATTTCACGCCTGCTGAAAGCCAACAACACACTCCTGAAGATGGGGTATCATTTTGAGCAGCCGGGGCCCAGGATGGTGGTCACGAACTTACTAACCAGAAACCTGGACCGTCAGAGGCAGCTGAGGAAGGAGGAGCAGAAGCAGCAGCAGATGAGGGAGCAGAAGGAGCTGATGCAGATTTGTGAAAGCAGTCTTAACCTGCCTCCTGGCTTACTTGAGATGCTGGGCTATGTTCCGCCACTGGAGCTCCTGCAGGAGCACGGGCTCGTCAAACCCTCGTCAGAACATAATGGCATTCCTCTAACACAGCAGCAGCCAAAGCCAGAAGAGCCAGAGCCTCAGAAGCCGCAGCCTCAGAAGAAGCTCAAACAGAAAGGAATTCCTAAACAACACAAAGCCGAGCCCACAAGTTCAATAAGGGAAGTGCAGCTGAAGAGGACGCCCAAGAAACGTGATCCGTTCCTGGACCAGGACCCCAGAGACAACAGAAGACCAGAGAGGGCCAGTTTCCAACTGAAGAAAACACCCAGAGTCAAAGACGGAGGCAGCTCCGAGACGACAGACGAAAGGCCCAACCTGACCGCTGTGATTAAAACTTTGAAGCCTGTTCCCCGTCGACGAGTGCCTCCGAAGGTTGACCTCACGCCACGTGACCAGCTCCTGAGTGAAATCAAAAAGAGCAACGTGGCGTATCTGAAATCTGTAAGTATCCCATGTGGGAACTGGTTAGCTAAGATGAAGGTGAACAACTGCAGTGCTGTATGACAGGTTTGAGGCAGGTGTATATCTTTACTGTGAAACAGCTTTTTTCTTTTAAATCTGAACTTTTATATCTTTACTGTGAAACAGCTTTTTTTGACTTTTGAAGTATTTAAAGCAAACGATTACTGTTTGGCCACACTAGGCAATAGCACAGTCCCACCAGTGGGCCGCAAACCTTTTTTTTCTTTTAAATCTGCACTTTCTGCAGTTTTGAATTGAAAAAAAAAAACTACAGATAGAAACGTATACACTTGTCTATAATTGTTGACAGCATGAAAATGTCAAGATTTCAATTGTTGAATCTTCTATGGTGCATTCCAGTATAAACTAAGGATGGCTTGATGTGATACTCAGGATCAGTACTGGTCAAAATTTCAGAAAAAAATATAGTCAAAGAAAACAAGGCATTGGATTGATATCGGTATTGGCAGATACTCCTAGTTGTAGTAACAGTATCATATCGGAATGATGTCAGTACTGGTCAAAATTTCAGAAAAAATTATAGTCAAACAAAACAAGGTATTGGCAGATACTCCTAGTTGTAGTAACAGTATCATATCGGAATGATGATGAAAAAGTTGTATCAAGCCATCTTTAGTATATTTTTTTTTTTACTATTTAATCTGAAAGATTGTATTAAAAAGCCTTCCATTCATTTGGGTCTCATCCACAGGTACCACTTCCCAAAATGCTGGAATCGTCTGAGACCAGTCTCTTCTGAGGCGCTAACGTCTACGAAAAATGTCTGTATTTATTTGCAACACGTTTCTTACCAGTTGCCCTGTTCAGGGGAAGTTTGTAAATGTGTAGTGATTTTATTTTTGTTTACACACGAGGTGTAGTTGTTCTGTTGTGTTACAGTATCTCAGTGAGGTCCTACATGTTCATGCTGTAGAATGAAGATAAGGACTGGAGAACCAGGCTGGTGTTTTTGACTCCTGTTACTGAATCAGATCAGCAGTGGCTTTTGAATTAAATATAAAATAGATGTTTATGCAGCAATTCTTTTATTTACATACTTTTTGCTATAAAATATTTCACTTCTTTTTGGGGAAATTTATGTTCAAAAACACAGTCAGTCTGAAACATGCAGTGCATGGAAGCATAAATTATAATGTCATTTAGTGTTTAATAACACAGAAATACTTCTAGAATTTTATTTTCATTTCTTTGGGTTTGTTTATTTATTCATCACGTTCTCAAAAACAAAACAAAGGTTTGTTTATTTATTCATCACGTTCTCGAAAAAAAAACAAAAAACTAAAATAAACCATACAATGACACATTGGTATTTTATAGTATACATACACATTCAGTCTGGGCTGCAATTTGTGACGGCAGCATGCACAAACTGCAGTTTAGGGACGAAAAGCAACGAGAAACAACTGCCATGTCTAACAGGAGTACTGCAGTAATATACCCAACATTTGAGATGACAGATTTAATCCCATATCTTATAACACAGGTTTGTTGCATTTGCTTTTACCCCTCGCGTGGTTTCGCAATTTTTCATATGCAACCATTTACGCTTTAGTGCATGCTAAATAACTGTATGACAACAAAGACAGATCTAAAACACCAACAGACAAGTCAACAACATGGCATAATATTCAAATAATACAGCTGCGCTTGCCATTCTTTTATTTATTTATTTTTTTAATTGCATAGCTATGGACAGAGGGGATACACTCGGTACAGCCTCTGTGGTAAGGAACTGTGCAAACATGTAATATTTGAACGTTGAATATTATTAATTATGGCCGTATACATAATAATGTATAAACCGGAAACAAACTGGTCTGAGATCAGTACTCACACAGCTTCTACATAAACCTGATGTTAATCTCACGTATGGCTGTAAATCAGAGAGCTGTTAAAAAAAAAAAAAATCAGGTCTGTTTTGAGGTAGCAAAATGAAAGGATGGAGCTGTTGTCGAACTGTGTGAAAACGCTCAACTTTTCCCTTTGCTGAAATCCTACAAACCCTCAAAGAATTCTGCATTTTGGAACATGAGCTGTTAAAAGGAATGATCAAACTTTTAGTCTTTGGAAAAGAAATCTCATCATCATTTTATTGTGCCTGTCTCTGTATTCCGTCATCAGATGGAAACAGAGTTAAATGCATGGAGTAATAAGGTACATGGACACACTTGAGTAACTTTGCATTAACAGAGGGGGAACAGGGGAGGTAAAAGGTGACATACTGTGAGGTACAAAGCTGAGAAAAAAAAACCCTAACTCTAGACTGGATGACACTTCACCTCCTCCACTCACTCCACAATTTCAGCCTTTCTATTCCTTCAGTTTGCCTTCAATGAAATCCTGAATCTTGTTGATTTTCTCCTCCTGTTGATCCAGGAGGTCCATGATGACGCCCATGGGTGTCTTTTTCAGCCCAGCGCCCTCTATCTTGTTCTCCATCCTGTTCTTCATGTTGCGCAGTCTCAGGGAGGCATGGATCAGGATTACTGCAGAGAGAGGAAGACCGTTGATTTGACACAAAGATTAGGGCGATCAAACAGGAAAACAGGAAAAAAAAAAGATTAATCACAGGGTAGCTGTAGATTAGTCGCGATTAGTTGTAATTGTAATTAACCATGATTAACATAAATATATTCAAAGATATAAAAGAAAAAGGTAGATGGTAGGTGTTTCACACATGACTTATCCAAATAATGGAATTATTAATAAAATGTCAAGAAAAGATGTGCAAAAAGTACTAAAAAATGTGCTTAATACGGTTGGTGGATTTTAGCCATTACTGTTCATCTTCATGGTGTCTTGTAGAACGCATTAGGAGTTGGGTCTCACCTGAAGATGAAGCCTCCACAAATGCATGCTGGGTGATGAGTATTTTAAACTCATGGTGCTTCACGAAGCAGAACACAGTTTTTTCCACAGTGTGTGAAAATAACAGCGTGCGTATCGACGGTGAGTGGATGGACGGTGGAATTATCAGATATACAGAATAAAAAAAAAATGTGCGTATCGACGGTGAGTGGACGGACGGTGGAATTATCAGATATACAGAATAAAACAAATTTAACAACGCAATGAATTTGTCATTTCAACAGCTCTGATAAAAATATAAAATTTGAGTCATTATTTTTTTGCATGGACAGATGGCCGCAAACCCGAGCAGGTGTAGGGTCAGGCCATCTTTTATTCCCACTGCAGATACTAAAAGCATGACATCAGTCTGTAAATGTAGTTCTGTACAAATCAGAGACACGTAGCAACCAAACAACATTAGCAGGAGTGGGCACGGCCCCGGGGAACGGCTCAAAAAAACTCCTCGTCTTTCATCCACCGAGTTGGAGCAGCTATATTTGCTGCAATAATTAAAGATCTAAACAACCTAGAGGAACATACGGCTCCTGCTGCTAACCTACTGTATAGCTAGCTCCACAGTTTAACCTGCAGCTTTGGGCCCAGATTGAAGGCCATGCAGTGAGTCATGTTAGTGATACTGCAAAAACTGTCCAACATGGTGAGTCAGCCTTTGGAAAAACTTGGTCACACCTTCAGTGAAAACCATAATCAAGCTCTCTGTGACTCACTGGTAGTTTCTAAGATGGCAAACAAACTGGAAACTTGCAAAGTACAGGGGAAAACAGCAAAGTACAGATAGTAAATATATACAAAAACATGTAAAAGAATCCTACTGGTTTCTTGTGAAACAGTTTTCCCGGACTGGTGAAATCGACAAAATAAAAATAGATCTCATTGTGAGTTTTATTTTTATTTTGTCGATTTCACCGAACACTGAACGCCACATTTATTGAACTTCCTGTTATTTTTGAACCCCAAAGCTTGTCTTGTCTTTCCTCTGTGGGCCTTTTCGTTTTCTTAAGATGGAGATTTTATTTTGAATAACATGTTTTGAAAGTTTTAATATTTTGTCAATTTCAAAATAAAGTGTTTGGGGAACTCTAGTTTAAGATATTTTAAGATATTTGACAGTTGTGTTTTGAGAGACTTTCTAACTTTTAGAGAAAACATAAAATGAAATCTTAATGAATGTAAAATATATTAATTATTTGGGAGTGATGCTGTTATTTTTAAAACATATTAAAACACATAAACTGCTAATTAAAATCTTTTCTCTGTGGCCATGTACTAAATGACCAACGGGCCAGTACTGGTCTGCGACCCGGTATTTGTTCACCTCCGTTTTGAGATGTAGGTGTTTAGTCTTTGACAGTGGTGTTAAAAAGATCAAACAGGCATCGACTTACACAACAAAGGGAAGGTGATTCCGAAGATGAACACCATGACGCCGCCACACAGCGACAGCAGGAAGTAGCTGGTGGCCATGACTCCGATGACAAACAGGGTGGGGTTCTTTTTTTTAAAGTTCTTGATAGTTGCTGTGTTCTCTCCTGCCCACACGGAGCCCATGAAGACGAGAGTCACCACAGCTCCTCCCAAGAACATGCCAAACGGGTTCAGGAACCTGAATATTGTACACGCCAAGAAACGAAGCTTTAGTTCCCTGATGGTCGTCTAAAAATAGCACAACCTGTTGGTGGAAACTTCAACAGCTAACTTGATGTGGAACTTTGGTTCCTAGAAGAGTGAGATGTGTCAAAAAAACAAACAACAACATGAATTTAATATTCAATTATTATAGACCATAGAACAATAAAAATGGAAAAGAAAGAGTAATTAATGAAACCTAGTGGCTTGTAATTTCTACTCCTCAAATCATTTTCTGCTAAGACAACAAAACAAAGATGGCCGCTGATTGTACCAGATTCAGGTAAAAAGCTTCAGTTTTTACCTGTTGTAGGTGTTTTTTGTTTTTTGTTTTAAATCTTTTGTGTCTGTTTGTGAAAGTCATCCCCGTAGCACTGACCAACTGTCATCTGTCGGCTGTCGTTGGGGTTTATTGTGCACGGAATTTTCCATCATATGATGTTCATCAGCTGCATCTGTGGTGTTGGTCTTGATTTGCAACTAGAATGCTTGTTTATTCAAAAGGAAGTGGCCTCACTGTCAGAACCCACTTCCTGCGCAGGAGGCAAAAGTAGTTTAATGTTAACGTGATGGTCACTGAAACACCCTGCTGGGTTTAGGAGATGAGAACCACGGCCATGTTTTACTTTTATATACCATCTACTGCATACATTACATAGACTGTAATTTAAATGGGTGGTTCCAAAACTGTGGAAGGCAAACCACTGTGGTACGTACAATCTATTTTTTTAGACTTGAGAACACAGCCTCAAGGCAGTACACTGTGTAACACCTTAAATAACCACTGATTTAAATCCACAGCCATAGTTAACTGTTCATATTTTATATATAGCCCACTGCTTCACCTTAGTTCAATCCTGTGATCACTGCACAACTGTTTCTACTCAAACAGTACTAACGGTACACGACTGTAACAGCCTGTAACAGTCGGTGCTTTTATTTATACTATACTATGTTTATTAAAAACTACTCTTTTGCACTCACAGGCTAACTCAGAGGCTAACAACATTTCGCTGACTCGTAGTGACGTGTAGTGGTAATAAAGTTTAAAGTAATCCAATCTAACTTGAGGGTAATTTATGAAAACTACAAAAAATAACCAAAAACCTTTCATGCACATATCTGTTTAAAAATCAGTATTGTACCCTTCAGAATCTCAAACATCTCCTTATTGTATTGATGCAGATCAAACAGCCACGGCAGCCACCATTTCTAGGCTAACGCAGCATCGATGATCGTTTTTTTAATATAAAACAAAGTCTGTGGAAATAGTGTGGGAAAAGTACTGTTTGTTTTCTGTACTGATATACTGACTGAGGTGAGCTGGCAAATGCCACGAGTATGGGCCAAATACGGCAAATGTATAAAGAGCACAAGGGTATCATGGACACGGATGTTGGCACAGCATGTTCATAGAAATAACATCCAGAGTGGGTGTGGGTGCATGGTGGTATGCAGACTAATTAAACAGAGAGCCTGGCTGCGTTAGCACTGTACCACGACTCACCCAACAATGACGAACACCACTACAGCCACGGCGAAATAATTGGTCTGGTAGTAGAGCAGATTACTAATCACTCTGTTGTTCCACTTGGTTAAATCGCCGAAGTCTGGTTTGGCGAATCTGTCCGTCCCGGGATAGAAGTCATCCCACGGTCTGAGGGGAGCGAGCTCCATCTTGGCTGCCATGGCTTCAACGTGTCGTTCAAACACACATAACCGCACAAGCTGCTGCGTATTATTTTGACAGATCAGCTGATGCTGTGAGGAGGGGAATGTAGCGTAATGATGCGCTTACTGAGCCCGCGTAATGTCTCGCGAGACTTTCGAACTAAGACGTGCTTTAAGGTCTGTGCAATAAAATGCGCATTATCACAAATAATAAGCCTTCGAGGTTTCTTGTATTATATATTTGTAAAATTATTTTGTAATCCAAATATAATATTTATAAAAATTAGTATTAATGCTTTTATATTTTTACTCTCAAGAATTAATGCCTTTTAAGTATCAGGGCCGGTGGCAGTTCTAGCTTTTGTTCCACCCAAATATAATATTTATAAAAATTAGTATCAATGCTTTTATATCTTTACTATCAAGAATTAATGACTTTTAAGTATCAGGGCCGGTGGCGGTTCTAGCTTTTTTCCCACCAACCGTTCACAGGAACAAAAACAACGGACACTGCTTTTGGCCACAGTATCACATACAGTACCTACAAAAATATATACACTTAACTTATGTATACACTCAAGTTAAATCAACGAATTAAATTAGGTAATTATACCTTGAAGAATAAAATAAAAAAGATTGTTTTTCTCTAGAGCTATTTGACCTACGTCATATTAAGATTACGTCCTTTGTCAGACGATGTCAAGACAACCACAATGCCTACCTTTACCACTAGATGTTGCTAAATTTACACTACACATTATAAATACTACATGTTTAATGTCAATATTATTTAGATTGAATTAAAGCCAACATAATATTTATGTCAATGCAAAAATATGTTTCTCATACACACTGAAGTTGTGCTCAATCGTTGCATGCGCAGCGAAGCGCAGACTTGACTCTCGCGAACACAACAGCCAGAATCGAGGACATGGGACCGTGAAAGTATGGCGGATGCCGAGGAGCCGTAAGTCTCAATGGATAAAAAATATAATTTTTTGTTGTGTAAACTTTGTTGGTTTATGGTCAACACGACATGGCTTCACTCTGGTTTTACCTCTCCTTCCAGGGAGAAGAAAAGAAGGCGATTAGAGGACCTGACTGAGAAGTTAGTGACGAATGCTAAATAAAGGTCTCTGACTGGCAGCAGGTTTGCGTTGCACTGTGAGCAGCGACTGCTGGGCCAGGAGACTCGACCAGAAACAACGGGACAGCCTTAATAATGCAGTTAGATCGTCGTATTATCTATCAATGATTGAACATAATAAATCCAATTACAATGATGATCTAACAGACAGGCCTAGCACTACGCTGAAACTGAAACCGCCAGTGAACATAATATCTGCGCACGAACTCAGTAACGCAGATCATTTATGATCCAGTTTTAACCGATAACGTCTATATTTATGATATCATGTTGGCATACAAATTTCTTCAAAACCTAGAATTGTGATTGTGAATATATGTAAATTTTCAGCCAATTCATTCTATATTGGAGTTCCTTCTTAACAGCAGTTAGCCATATCTTTAAGCTTAAATTGCTGATGTGAAATACAGCCTTTCGAATGCCTTGATTATGTGCTGTGCTTTTGCAAAGTTGGTCAGGAAAACTTCCCTTTAAATTATTTCCATAACTGGAATTGATGAATTGTCCAATACTGGTGCTGTCATAAAACATGAAGACTATAAAAAAATAGAACACAAATGTCACCATACCTGTTATAAGAAATGGTTATACACGTGTCGTTATACAAGTCACTGTGGCTGTGTTTGTAGAATGGCTGTAGATGGTGGACACATAGGCAGCGGTTCTGACTGGAATGGCCGGTGGAATCATGTAAAGAAGTTTTTGGAAAGAACCGGTCCATTTACCCATCCTGACTTTGAGCCCAGCACTGAGGTAATGCATAAGTATGTCTATAAAATGATGCATACATACTATGAGAACATACTGTTATTTATTTATTTTTAATTTCTTCATACATTTAGTTCTTAAAATATGTTTATGATTTCAGTCTCTACAGTTTTTGTTGGACACATGTAAGATTCTGGTCATCGGTGCCGGGGGACTCGGATGTGAACTACTCAAAGATCTGGTAGGAAAACCTCTGATCTTCATCGCTGTAAACATAGTAGTTGTAAAAAAAGTTAAAGTTTAATGTAATCTTTTTTTGTTGTCTTTTAGGCCTTGTCTGGATTTCGTCTCATCCATGTGGTTGACATGGACACTATTGATGTGTCCAACCTCAATAGGCAGTTTCTCTTCAGGTAGATTTAATGATGTTTTTCCAGTCATCTGTAACACAAATATTAATGTAATATATATTTTTTTTGCATCAGTTACTCTTTTGCCCCTGTATGGTATTATCTGACATGTATTTCCTTTACACATCAATTCAGGCCTAGAGATGTCGGTCGACCAAAGGCAGACGTGGCTGCTGACTTCATCAACAATCGAGTCCCAGGATGTAAAGTCACTCCGTATCCTCCTCAGCAGTTTCTAACGCTGCTTTGGTTCATTTCAAATTTGATATTATTGATTTGACAATGATGCACTTTGTTCCTTATTATTGATATGCAGTCACTTTAAAAAGATTCAAGACTTTGATGAATCCTTCTATAGACGTGAGTGTTTTTTTCACATTCAACTTTATATAAAAAAAAAACAATTTTTTAATTAATTTTTATTTTTTATTTTAACCCTTCCCCAGAGTTCCATATCATCGTCTGTGGACTGGACTCTATCATCGCTCGACGCTGGATGAACGGAATGCTGGTAGGACAATGAAGTTCCATTTGATTAAAATACTCTCAAAAAAATGTGTGGTGACTGACAATCTCATCGTCATTCTTCAGATTTCCCTCTTGTGTTATGAAGATGGAGTTCTGGATCCCAGTTCCATCATTCCCCTCATTGATGGAGGGACAGAAGGCTTTAAAGGAAATGCTCGTGTCATTTTACCCGGCATGACTGCGTGTATCGACTGTACACTAGAGCTGTACCCACCACAGGTGACTTTTAATATTTAACCCTGCAGTGGTTAATATGGTGAAAACACAAACAGAGAGTAGCATCCCAATTACCACTTTGGTGACCCCCAGTGGAGGGAAGGGTTGGAGTGAATTTTTCATCATGATGTAATTATGTTCGTTGTTCAAATGCTTTCACACTAATAATGTATGTTACAATCCACAGATAAATTTCCCCATGTGCACCATTGCATCAATGCCAAGGATACCTGAACATTGCATTGAATATGCCAGAATTCTGCAGTGGCCAAAAGAAAATCCATTTGGAGGTAAACAGTAACATTTAACGTGCATTCCTGTAGACGTTAGCCACAGGAAGTACACATCAACTGCTGGGATAAAGACAAAAACACACACGTGTCTTCTTCTAATTTAGAGACCGGCTTAGATGGAGACAATCCAGAGCATATCCAGTGGGTGTTTGAACGCGCCCAGGAAAGAGCTGCAGAGTTCAACATCACGGGTGTGACGTACAGACTCACTCAAGGTGAACCTGTTTTATTTGGTGCTAACGTGATGTAGCAGTCTGCCTCTTCAGGACAGAATCGGTACGACTAAATCTCAGGCATCTGTGGCGCTGAATTTCTAAAAATGTTTTCTACCGCGTTTGTCGCAGGAGTTGTGAAGAGGCTTATTCCTGCGGTGGCTTCTGCTAACGCTGGGCT